TTCTCCAGATTTCTAGGGATTTTCTTAGGATTTCTTGGATTTATCAAAGATTGAGAGATTCCTGAATATTTATTAAGATATCTGGGATTTCCAAAAAATCTTCGAGATTTTCAAGATTTCTCGGATTTCTAAGGATTCCTCAAGGATTTACGAGATTTATCAAGGATTGAGAGATTTCTGATGATTTTCAGTATACATGAGACTATCGAAAGTTTCACAAGGTTCATCAAAATTGAACGGATTTTTTCAACATTTGTTAGAGTTTTCAAGATCTTAAAGAATTTTTCTGGTCACAAAGGTTGACAATCATTATGTTCTTTCAAGAATATAATACACTGTTATGAGTAACAAAAGTTTCAGAAAAGAGAAATGCTAATAACCTTCAGAAAGTATATACCTCTCTGACTAAATGAAAGTGAATCCTCGTATAATTTTAATGTCGCTGCCACTGACTCCAACTGGTCGAGGTTATTTCTAAAAAAATTGAATCTCGTGAAATTTTCATTCAAATAAGCAATCGATCTTGTTTTACCGGGTCTTCACGACCCATGATGGATTTATGCAGCAGTTTTAAGTCATAAGTTTTGAGTCGTAAGTATTAAGTCTTAAGAAGTTCATTCATTGCTTTACAATATAAACGTTCATACAATTGTCATGAGCAGTCATAAGTTTCCAGATTGTTGTAACTGCTGAATAATAGAAAAAAACATATCTGTGTTACCTCTTAACATGTATTGAACTGATAAACACGATGAGCAATAAGCAAAATGAGCTAATGAATAGAAGCGCTTTTCTTATATGATATATGACAGTATTTATTAGCTGCATGAATCACCATTTTCATCTCACGACTTAAAACTCGTGACTTGAAACTTTAAGACTTAAAACTGCTGCATAAATCCCTCGATAAATCCACCACTACACAATGACTTCATTGTGCATGTTAGTATTTCAACATAAATGTCATCTCTCATGAAATGTCAAATTTGAAGCAATGACAGCTCTGTCTAATAGAACGGCAAAGCTTTGGGATTCTTTGTGAAGGGAAATATTCCTAAGAATTTATATAATCTCCAAAAGTTCAAAAAAATCTAATATCTACATCCCTAGGTACGCACGATGTTTTTCGAACATTATAGGGATTCACTTTCAAGAGCCCCAAGAGATTACTCGAGGCATTACTGTTACTCACTGTTATCTGTTACAGCCGTAGACAAAGTATAGTGTATAATTAACAACTCGTATGATTTCGCCTGCTCATGCAAATTATATCAAGAGAAATACCATTCCAACGACCCCAGCAATTCCAAGAAGCCAAGACGCTATCGCAACTGCGTCAGCTGTTTTCATCTCCGATGCTACTGGATCTGATACGTAGCTTCAGCAGTCTTGATATTGCTCCAATACAATTTAGATGCAATTTATGACAATCAAATAATTTTATAATAAATAAAAATAAAGGTTTTGGTTCAAACTCATCCTGAGGAACTTAATTGGCGCAGTCGTGTAGGATAGTCAGGAAAATCCATCGTGGAAATTTTGTCTATTTTAATAGTTAACTGACTATCGGGAAAAGTGCCTACTTTCCATTCATCTATCGAAGAAAGGTTGGAAGTGGAGTGCTGGAACGAGAAACCATCAGAGACGAGGCGAACCAAATACCAGGATTAAGCAGATCGATCATCAATGGAGAAAATCGTACTGTAAGTCCTTCCATTCCGCATGTCAGACTCCTCTAGTGAATCCTCATCCTTCCGCGATCGTACAGATAAGCTAGAGTTAGAATTAGGTGAACCCAACAGTTCAGAAATCAATACAGAATTAGATAATTTGACTCAAAGTTTGAATTCAATTAGCTTGACTGAAGAAACACAACTTATAATGTCTCTTCCAAATTTTACTAAAGTTCATGCAGAAACGATTCCAGACTTTGACGGGGACGTCAATGAACTGAATTTCTTTCTAGAGAGTATAGATAGCATCGTAACACACTTTTATAACGTTGCCAATCCGAATAATTTTCAAAATGTAATTATTTTGAGAACAATTATTAGTAAATTGAAAGGTCCAGCTAGGGAAGTTGTAAACATCAGCTGTTCTAGTACCATCAACGAAATAAAAAATGAACTCATTACAAATTTCAGTGATCCTCGAAACGAATATTGTTTGTCACTAGATTTGAACAACCTGAGGCAGTCTAATAATGAGAGCCCTTATCAATTTCACGATAAAGTTCGAAAAATTCTGAACACTATATCCAATTATTTGGCTATTCATGAAAGTGATAATAATGTTAGGAAGTTCAAGCAAAAAATGTATAACCAGCAAGCATTACAAGTATTTTTGGCAGGATTAAAAAATCCCTATGGCATTATGGTACGCACCAAAGACCCCAAATCTATGCTTGAGGCTATGAATTTCATAAGAAACGAAGATAACATCCGGTATTTACAAAATTCTACGAATCCGAACCAAAACCAATCGAATTCGCAACCGAAAAGGTCATTCAATCAAACTCAAACAAGACCGAATTTCACTTCGAATAATTCTGTTCAGAGAAATCCACAACCTCAACATTTTGCGTTCACACGACCACAACAATATAATAATACACCTACTCAAAATTTTGCAAGACCACAAAACTACATGCAAGCCGGTACCAGTGGCCAACAAAACCAAACATTTCCAACAGGCCCCATCAACATTCAACCAAGATATAATAGTTTCCAAAGATTTCCAACAAATCAACAGGTTTTCGGAACCCCGAAAAATGTATGGAAACCAAACCCGAATGCGAATATAAACCAGTCAAAACCTATATACACCTATGAGTACAACATCCCGGCAACCCACGATCAATTTCAAACCCAATCAATCAAATCAAAGATGGCATACAGAACAATTACATAATACTGAACAATTTGATGTACCCATTAACGAAGAATATACCGATTATTGTCAACAAGAAAGCGTTGAATACGATACAGAAGATTGTTCCGAATTCGCGGAAACACCCACGTATGAAAATAACGAGGATTTTCAACGGGACAGCCATTCGAATCCCAGCACGTAATTCAATACCATAGTTCACTCGATAAAAGGCAACTACCTTACATCGTAATTAATGAACCTCCCCTCAAATTACTTGTTGACACAGGAGCAACCAAATCTTTTTTATGCCCTGAAATTGTCGATAAATATTATTCAAATTATAAAGTTAAGGATCCATTTGTTGTTTCCACAGCATTTTCATCGTCACAACATGATTTTTCAGTAACTATACCCGCGTTCGCAGAACTCAATGATAAAAGGCATCTGAAATTCTATGCTTACAAATTTCACAGCGTGTTTGATGGACTTCTAGGAATAGATACCATACAACTCTTCAATGTAAGTCTAGATTTTGCTAAACTGCAGTTTGTAACAAAAAACGCTATTATTCCATTGAAATATTTCAGTGCCGTACCTAAATTATTTTTTGAAAGAAATTTACCAGGTAATACTGTAACCCAAATTAAAATTCCCGTAACCATTAAATCTGGAGAAATTTTGGTTCCACAGCAAATTTTTCAGAATTTCAGAATTCCTGAAACAGTCACCACGTCAAAGAACGGTTGGGCGATTGTTGAAGTTTTTAATAATTCCATTTACGATTCTAACCTTACTTTACTATATCCAATTCAATCGATACCTATACAAGACAATTTTGAATACTTCAACATGAATTTTGTCAATTATTCCGAAACCAATAATCAATCCGACATAGACAAACTGATAAG